GGGGGGCTCCCACGGAACATTTAGATTTTTTCGCATGTGGGTTTAAAATAGCTGGCTTCGTAAACCAGCCATTTAGCAACAACACTTGATTTGGTGATGCCCTTGTAAAAGGAGGTAAACAGCGCAGCGCCGCCCTAATTGATGAGCAATTTCACGTTAAGTGCTATGGGAGTATACACCGTCTAGTTCCCCCCCATATTTCTCACCTGAGACGCATGCGTCTCGTCACTTTACGCTTTACGGGCTTAGGGTCCTCGGTCTAACCAAGTTGAAAAATGACAAAGGCTAATAAGGCGTATCGTTCAGTCATCAGTGCAGTTTATTTCATTATCATGTTTTTTGCCTCAGTGGGAAAAGCGCAGAAATTACCGTGGGGCGAAAAGGAAATGAAATTAGGACAAAACTAGCGCTTTCGTAGTTCGTTCTAACATTTTCCGCTTGCAGATTTAGAATTTAATAACCGCTGTGTATTATATAAAGCATTTAGAAATGGCGCGCTCTCTAATTTTTGTCAGCTTGGGCATAACGTGGTCCCGTGATGTTTGAAGATCATCATGACTATATCGCCGTGATATTTGTTGCGTTAGCGCGTGTGTGCGTGCCTGTATCAGTGTGCGTGCATCTAGCAATACGACCGACGGCTATCTCCCGTATCTCTCCATCACACAAACACCTAAATTCAGTTTACCCCCTCAGCCTATCTGGCTTGTTCGTTCTTCCGTTCATTACTCCCCATCCATCTATCTAACCATGCATTAAAAACATCATCTAATAAGCAGTCATTACATGCATGCGCATGTGCAATAACGCTATAGACATTTATACCGGCATAAACAGTCTCAAACTTATATGTATACCTTCCTGGACACGGCGCCACGCCCATCCACACGCTACAAGAAAACGTAGCCGGAGCAGGACTAACGTATAGGACATCATATAGTCATCTCGATCAGCACGGGCTATATTTATGAACTAATAGCAAACAGCGTTTTCTTAAAGCTTTCCTGGTGATCACGATGCCCCTTATAATTAGCATTGGCACACAACGTGCCCTGGCGCTCGCCACATGAGCTACAATCTGAGAGCGAGGTCGAGGTTACAGAGAGAGAGAAGAGAGAGAGAGAGAGAGAGAGAGAGAGTGAGAGAGAGAGAGAGGGAGAAAAGGGGGGAGAGAGACAGAGACAGAGAGGGAGAGAAAAGAGCGCGCGCGAGAGGATGCGAGAGAGACAGGGAGGGAGAGAGGGGGAGAGAGACAGAGAAAGAGAGGGAGAGAGAGAAGAAGAGAATGAGAGAGTGGGGATAGAGACAGAGAAAGAGAGGGAAGAGCAAGCGAGAGAGAGAGAGAGAGAGAGAGAGAGGGTGTGAGAGAGCGAGAGAGACCGAGAGGGAGAGAAAGGGAAGGACAGAGATACAGAGATAAGAGAGAGAGAGCGAGAGAGAGAGAGAGAGAGAGAGAAGAAAGATGAGACATGAGGAGACAGAGAGAGAAGAGAGAGAGAGAGCAGAGAGAGAGGCAGACAGAGGAAGAGTAATCCGAGAGAGGGCCGAGAGAGACAATGATGAGAGACATGATGGGAGAGACAGCGAGAGAGGAGAGTAGAGAGAGAGAGAGAGAGAGAAGAGAGAGGGGCATGAGAGCAGACATTGAGAGAGACAGAGACGAGACAGAGAGAGAGCAATTAGAGAGTGAGAGAGACGAGTAGAGAGAGAGAAGAGAGAAAAAGAGAGAGTAGAGGGTTTCAGTATAAGGCGGGCACGATTTCGTATGCCTTTCTTACTGCTTGATATTGTAAAGAAGCGGGGAGGAGAGATTAAGCTCTCGTGCAGCAAGGAATGCGCGTGCGTTAGAAATAAAACTGCCACGCATCACGTTCAGATATATGGCGCTAGCGCGACCGAACACAGTGACATTTTAGGCAAACGTTTTGAACGCTCGACCGCGAATTTCACGCTGTCAGCTGTAGAATATAGGGTGACGTAGGAGACCAGATGAGCGAGGAGAGGCAGATGAAGCGGAAGAGAGGGCGAGAGTTGATATATATATATATGATAATATATATATATATATATATAATGACATATATACTCTTGATATACTATATATATATAATATAATATATATGAGAGAGAGAGATGAGAGGAGAGAAGAGAGAGAGAAGAGAGAGAGAGAAAGAATGAAAGGTAGGAGAGAAGAGAGAGAGAGAGAGAGAGAGAGAGAGAGAGAGAGAGAGCGAGAGGAGAGAAGAAAGAAAAAGAGAGCGGAGAGAGAGAGGAGAGCCGAGAGAGAGAGAAAGGAGAAGAGAGAGAGAGAGAGAAGAGAGCTAGACAATGATCACTTGCAGCAAGAACAAGTCCGCACCAGCTACAGCACGACAGCCGCGCGAGCGGGGCCCCCGCCGCATTGACTATATATATACTACTGTACGTATATATAGTAGTAACGACTGTAGGTATATATATATAAGTCAATGGCGCGTGTGTGATGTAGCTGGTGCGGACTTGTTCTTGCTGCCAGTGGACATGATGAGGAAACGGAACATTTTGTGTATACAACAAAAACAGCAGTAGTAGCTCCATGGCCGTCGTATGCACGCCAGCAATACTGAGCCAGACATATCGATAAAAGGCTGCATATAGCTGAGAAATCGCCTTAATATCTACTGAGGCGAAAATCTGCACATATATTAGCAACGGCCGGGTCTTTACTATAAGTAAAGTCTTCACGTAGAATCACGCCGAAACGTTCCCATCATTGTATACCTAGGACAAATACACCCCCGCGACAATCACCCGGACAATTACCCTCCCGGACAATTACCCCACCGACAATTACCCATCGCCATTTACCCCCTAATGCCATTTACCGGGCCCGCGGACATTCTAGC